AAAAAAAAAAAAGACTTTACTGTCATTCAGATGTTCTTATCATCAGGTTTTATAGCACTATCGTACAAACACAGGTCAAGAAAAGCTGTACTAGTGTATTGGACACATATGCATAACTTGCCTTTCAGACCCCTTTAACTTGTTTATCATTGTCTGTTAAATGTCTTTATAAGTGGGAGTATGAGAAATAGGTTGTAGATAGGAAAGAAGAAACCTAATTTCCAGCAGTTCAGCTTAGGAATGGCAAATGACATCATTGTTACTGTATTTCTTTCTGTCTTTGTCAATAGGATTAAACTACACACTTCATTGTATTTTATCTTCTTTCCATCATGTTTTTTTCCTGTGTGTTTCACAGCAGAGAGTGCTAGTGATGCTGTGTCCTGGGAGATATCTGAAGTTATTAGTTTGGACATTAAACACCATATTTAACTGTTTATGATTAAAACCAGGTGTAAGTGAAACTATGTATAAATAAAATGTTCCTCTGGTAATACAGACAAAAATATCTGTACTACAGTCAATCTCATTCAGTTAAATTGATTAATTTTGTATTAAACATTGTATTGCTGTGGATACTTATCAACAAATATTTTGAGACAATGTTTTCATTGTGAGCATTAACAAAATGAGTTGAATGGGTAAACTCGGAGCCAAGATTTCTGACGGTCAGGTTGGAAGAATTCTGTGAATTGGCTAGGAGTTTTTTTTCTGAAATCTTTTGCTTCAGAAAATTCAGTTTGTTCAAACACACTATTTGGTCAGGAGAAATTATATATGTGTGGTTTGTTTTTTTTTTTTTTGAAGTGGACAATTTTTTGACTTACTCTGAAATATAAGATAATTGTATTTGTGCACATGCAGGCATAAATGCATAGTTTGCTGCAAGCTGGAAAACAGATCATTTTGATTAACTCAGTCTGAAATATTTTTATAACTTTCAGTTAATAAAACATTCAGGATTGCTATTATTTCCTCTTATAAACGATCAGTGTTCTTTTAGGATAGGAAAATGCTTGTATACATAGGCTTTATATGAAATTATAGAATTCATTTGGTGCTTGGTGCTATGCCATATTTACTGGTATGCATTAGCTAATTATTTTAATCAGTTAGTCAATGAGATTTCATAATTGTTACTATGTAACAATTTTAAGTAATTTTAAGCTAATGACTACTAAAATTACATAAAGTGCTGTTATTATATGAAGAACTTAGAAATAATGGCAGATCTGATGGGTATCTACCACGATCATTGCTTCCCAGTTGTCTGGAGGCTGGTTTACAGGTATTAATTTGAACATATAATGCTCTTTGTTCAAAGAACAGGTCTGCATATATATATATCTGTGTGTGTGTGTGTATGCATAAAAAATGTACCAAGTATATTAGTGTATCAAAAACATACATACTTTTTAACGTCTATGTTGGTTTTGTCTGTATAAAGCTCATATGTCAAGCAGTTTTGGCAATACTCTACTAAAAATCTTAGGACATCATATTTGAATGGCCCATACAGAAGTGCCACCTTCTGCTTCTAACTGTGCAGTGAAACTGATTATTTACATAAACAAGTACTTTTTATATTTTATGTGTAAATACACTGTAAAAAAAGACATTTCAAAGGTCAGCTGAGCCCAACAATCATATAAATTATTTAAATCTCTACAAAGAACCCTCACAAAACTTTCAGTTTCCAAGGAACCACCACCAAAAGTATATTCTATAAGTATAAACTTAGTGCTTTGAAGCTATCCTCATATAGACAGCTCTGTTAAAGCTAAATAAAACCTTCAGATGATGCAGGTTGTGTGGGACCAGTACTCAAGAAAGCAGTGTTTTGGGATGCTTAAAAGAACAAATACATATGGGTTAAAAACATTCTAAAGCCAGAGGCAGCCTCACATTGATCTAGAATCTATGCTATAAAGTGACACTGATGATCAGCAGGCTAAAAAGCTAAAAAAGCCCTCCTGTATTTATATAGTACTGTAATGTGTTGTAGCTTCATAACAACATGAGGCATAAACTAATGAGTGCATTGACTCATAAGTCTGAAATCTGAGACTATGTTATAACTTTGTTACAATTTCTGATTAGATGCTACAAAATAGTCCTTCAGTGGTAGACAGTTGCAGCTGTGAGTTTTCATTCCTTTTGAAAATTATGTTCAGGTGATGGGTGCTTAGAAATAAAGGTATAAACCAGACTTTAAAAAATACCACATTTGAGAAATTCACCAAATATCCTGTAGGAAACTGGCAGCAGAATTAGGATTTTTGAGATGTAAGTTTTCCAAGTCTAGGGAAGCATCATAACAAGACAGTCATCTCTCTTCTTTCCTCTGTTCTAGGAAATTTTGTTTTTCCCTTCCTGTACAAGATAACAGTCCCATTTTGTCACTGTGGTCAGTAGCACTCCCTGTTTGTTACACACTATGGGACTTGGCTCTATTATTTATCCATGGCAGATAACAATCTAGGCCATGTCTGTACAAGAAAGTGTTGAACAGGTTTCAAAAGAATGATTATAAGCCAGATGCACTTAAAACAGTTTGCCACCTCCTTAAGTTGTTTTGTAATTTACAAAATTCAGCTCAGCTGATTGAAGAGATGATAAAGTCAATTTAAGTCACCCAGTTTAGGGAGCTGCACCTGCAACTTTTCCCTCTAGACATGGTCTTGCCTGGTAAGTAGGAGGATCAATGGCAGGTTAATGCAATTGGCAATGTAAGAAACTGGGAAAAAAATCCCCAAACCAGACCTGTTATTATTTGTGTGGGCTATTTTGTAAACTATTCAGGCAGGGATTTTTTTCTTCGTAAATATCTCTAAACTGACAGCCAACACTCTACTAAAATTAATCCCAATAATATAAATAATGATGTGCTAAATTGTTTTCAGTATAGTTATTCTAATTTACAGGAGTGTAGTATTGAACTGAAGTCACTCCATTAAGACAAATACAGCAAACTATAGCAGTTGGCCAACTCGAGCCTTGATCTATATGTGTTCAATCTGGTGGGAACCACATGCTTTTAACTAAAAGAGAGATAAAAAGAAGTAGAGTCAGAAAGACAAGAATATATTGCTTTTGTTTAAATTTACAGTTCACATAGTACTTGTTTTCCTTGGCATATGTTATGTGCTATATAATCTAATAGATAAATAAAGGCACTGATTGTTTGAAGCATGCTGAGTGATGACCTGAACCAACAAGTATGCCTTGATGGAAAACTCTTACTTAGAGAAACAGAACTTTTATTCATCATTGTAGGATCAGCTTATTTGCTGTAGCTGAAGGGTTTGATTCTTCTCTGTCTCACATGATACAGGGAAAATTAGATCCACACAAAGCATCGGAGTGATTTGTTTATTGACTGTGTACATGCTGGCTCATTGACATTTTTAACAAAATACATTAAAATAACAGGGAGGAAAAAGTGATACAAAATTATTTTTCCTTAGCTATTTCCTCTATGTTTCCTGTCCAGCAGTCAGCAGAAAAGGAGGGATGGTTGTAGAGAAGGTGTAGTGCCACAGCTCTACCAAGAATTTATTCTCTTGATAGTAAGAGGCAGAGCAGCAAGTACAATATTAGTTTCTGCTGTATTGCTGAATAAACTTAAGGAAGTGGTTTGCAGTGAGGAATACATATCCTCCTGAAACGTATTTCCCCTCACAGCATGTGCCTTTGCTTTCAGCAAGAGTGAGTTATGCTACATTAGCAATAAAGGGGAAAGATGAGCCAGATTTTTAAAGGTGCTTAGGCAGCTGAAGAGGTAGGTAGATGACTAATAGGATTTAGGATCCAAGCCTGGGAAACCTAAGTATCTTTAAAAGTCTCACATGAAGTTATTACAGAAAACCTTCAACTTCCATGTCTGCCCAAACAGTGATAACCTACCAACAGGCCATTAATT